AGCCCCAGATGAACTTACGTTGTATTCTGAATCAAATGGTCTATGAGGCGACAGACTGTCCTCGCTACATTCATCGTCTGTAAGGAAAAGATCCAGGGAATGGATGTCCTCTTCTTGTTCAACAAACACATGTTCAGCTACGTAAGCATGGTCCGTGGTTACGGGCTGGCGCATATCTGCAGGCTACTGTACCGCTGCATCCAACGTGTCTTTAACATTATCCGTCTGAGTCTCTGCATCGCACTTACTTGGAGAACATTGTACACTTACACTTACAGATTGAACGGGATGAACGGGTGGACTGTCAGCTTCCTCCATAACCAGTGGTGTGTCCGATGGTTCACCTTCAGAAGCTACAGCAGCCGGAGCGGGTTTTTTGCGGCACAAGAGAGCATCCAGCGTCTCCTGTTTTTGGCGTTTTTTTGTGCGCATTTCACTCCCCTCCCGAGGGCGTTTAGACTCCTTATGTGAGAAAATTGTCGGCACGGCATTTTGTTTAAGTCGACGTTTATACCCAGCAGTACCCATTAGCTCCTTTAGCAGCTCTGGTCGACTAAAGGCCTCAAAATCATCTGGGGAGAAGTGGCGAGAACAGAGCCGCGGGTCTTTAGGAAGTTCTGTTCGTCCACAAGCACTTTCCCACTGCTTTCTCCTCTTCTTATCACTAGGAAACATGTGTAAACTTACATCAGTTCCCTTGTTGTCTTTCGACTGGAAATTACATCCGAATGCAGCACAATGTGTTATTTTCTCTGGTGATAGCGTCAGGTAGTAGCAGCCGTCAGGTAAACAACTCACTTCCTTAAATAGAGCAACCTTTCTACGTCATCACCCCGGCATGCATTGCGCGAGTAAAATAATGGTGGCCTCCTATGGTAAAAATACGTTGTAAACATTGAAGCATTTTAAAGCAATTTCATGTCTTTCTAAAAACATAATTTAGTACAATAGAAAAATTGTGGCTTATTGAGCCCTACATGTCTAACTAGTCGGGGTTCCTTTTAAGATGATTATTAGCAGAGATGCAACGTTGATGAATGCAAGGATACAGTGTGGTCAGGATACAATGCAGGTGTAACGGGTATAGAGTGAACCCAATTGCAGCACAAATGAACCAGGTTTCTTGTATTTACAGTCTTTATTCAGCAGGTCAAAGCAGGAACACAGCTAACCAGAAGATGCAGCAGAGCAGAGCAGGCGAGTATGGCAGGATTCGAACCCGAGTCTCCCGTGTGACAAGCAAGCAAGTTATCACAGGACCAACGGGGCAGGCAGGGAGTGCATGGGACTCGTGAGCAGGTAATTGTCCAAAAGTTCTCAACAGGCTCAACAAGTGTGGTGAAGGGGAAATAGCATGAACTCACTGCTGATGGAAAGTGGTTCAGATGAGGGCTGGGTGTGGATCTGGACCTTTTGGCTGAACAGGAACAGGCTGAATGCCAACCAGCCACAGGCAGACAAGGAACAGAAAACAGGCAGGCAATACTCGTAGTCAGGGAGAGAAGGCTGGTGGATTTACCGGGGCTGAGACGTGAAGCAAAGGTCGGAGGCAAGTCGGGTCGATACCAGGTAAGCGGTCCGGGAACAAGTGCTGGAGAGACAGGCATGAGAGCGAAGACAATCTGGCAAAGAGTGAGTGGAGTGAAGCTGCATATATACTGGCTTGATTGGAGATGGTGAGCAGGTGACAGCAGCAGGTGGAAGCAGTTCAGCTGATGAGGGGTGTGGCTGAGCAGCAGAGCAGGAGAGGGGCAGAGCAGACTGTGACAGCAGGTCCTTACATTCATTTGTCCTTTCGTCCGTCTTTCATATTTTTGTTTGAATATAATACATTTCCTCATGATTCTCTTACCAAGACTACTTCTTATTTAGTTGTAGTCTTGTTATCGTCATGAAAAAAGGTCATTAACAAATATTTATCGTCTTAGTTTTTCATTAGAATTATTAGAACACACATACACACGAGCAGCAGAGAATTAGTGCGTTAGGTAGCAGCGCTGTGTGTGACTTATGCGCTGATGAAGTGGTGGGTGATTGATGTGCCTGACATCGATTGATTTAGTTTCAGCACCGTGGCAGTGGACAGCTCCTGTTAAGAGTGTCTTAAAGAGCGATCCTAAGAAGGGCATTAAGAAGGCATCTGGGAGACACTCTTATCTTAGCGACCCTTCTTAGCTAAGACGTTCTTAACTCTGCTCTTAAGTCTTAAGATCTGGATTACTGTAACTCTCTATTATCAGGTAGCTCTAGTAAGTCCTTAAAAACTCTCCAGCTAATTCAGAATGCAGCAGCACGTGTACTAACAGGAACTAAGAAACGAGATCATATTTCTCCTGTTTTAGCTTCTCTGCACTGGCTCCCTGTAAAATCCAGAATTGAATTTAAAATCCTACTGTTAACTTATAAAGCTCTAAATGGTCAAGCTCCGTCATATCTTAGAGAGCTCATAGTGCCATATTATCCCACCAGAACACTGCGCTCTGAGAACGCAGGGTTACTCGTGGTCCCTAAAGTCTCCAAAAGTAGATCAGGAGCCAGAGCCTTCAGCTATCAGGCTCCTCTCCTGTGGAATCATCTTCCTGTTACGGTCCGGGAGGCAGACACCGTCTCCACATTTAAGACTAGACTTAAGACTTTCCTCTTTGATAAAGCTTATAGTTAGGGCTGGCTCAGGCTTGCCCTGTACCAGCCCCTAGTTAGGCTGACTTAGGCCTAGTCTGCCGGAGGACCCCCCTATAATACACCGGACACCTTCTCTCCTTCTCTCTCTCTCTCTCTCTCTCTCTCTCTCTCTCTCTTCTCCTCCTCCAGCAGACTAGGCCTAAGTCAGCCTAACTAGGGGCTGGTACAGGGCAAGCCTGAGCCAGCCCTAACTATAAGCTTTATCAAAGAGGAAAGTCTTAAGTCTAGTCTTAAATGTGGAGACGGTGTCTGCCTCCCGGACCGTAACAGGAAGATGATTCCACAGGAGAGGAGCCTGATAGCTGAAGGCTCTAGCTCCTGATCTGATCTGATATTGGGCTTTATAAATAAAACTGATTGATTGATTGATTGATTGATTGATTGATTGATTGATTAGCTGTGCTAGCTGCAGCAGCAACAACGGGAGAGGGAGTGGGGCAGGGGGAGATGGAGGGAGTCCGTGATGAAGCCACTCATGGACGCTTAAGCAGAACCTGACCTGAAAATACTCCTCTACTACCAGCCAGCCGGGAAACTCAGAGGCTGGCAGTTTAGGAGAGTATTTCCAGGCCAGCAGGATATTCCAGAGGCTGAGAGCAGAGGAGCGACAGATTTCAGGCTTGTCTAATATCTTTATATGTGATGAAAATCACTAGAAAGGAGAAAGCAGTTGGATGTCAGGTGACCAGACTGTAAGAAAACACGAAGGTTACAATTGCACTGACTGTGCACGTCAGAGGACGCTTCTGAAGAAGACTGAAGTTGACAGTCAAAACATGTCAAGGTAAAGCAACATCTCCTAATCTCTTTGTCTGAAAAAAGAAAAACCTCTATACTAGAGCTGCTGCTAGCTGTGTTAAAGCAACACTTACCTTTCTGGAAATTTAACACTTTTCTTTGTTGAGGTTAAAATGCTATTAATAAGCTGATGGCACTAAAATGTAAGTGAATTCCACCAGAGATAAAAACTCATAATGATACCATTCTCATATGGTTCTAAGAAAACTCAGACCAAGCCGAGCGTCCTGTCTGTCTTCCCCATGTGGAGGCCCCCGACTGACGTAACCACTCACGTAACAAAATACACACACAAGTCCTGCGTAGGAATTTAGCTTTAAACAGTATCTTAACTGGTTTCCATTAATTTGCTTCATTTTGTCAATCAGTCATCAATAGTTTTGTGACAGTTTGCTCAGAGGAGGTCTAACAGTGAGTTCCACCTCTCAAACACACCGTTTTAACATAGCGCATTTTTTAACTGAATTTACATTTGCAAAAACATGTATGATGTTAATATTAAATAAATATATAAGTTGAACTGAAGTGAACATGAACTTGTCTTTATTTGCCTTTGATAACTACGTGATAACCACGATTACATCAGCAGCTACGACCCCGACACAAGGAAACTCTTATAGTATTTATAGTAAATTTCATGTTCAGCCCCGAGGAGATCTTTTCAAAGAACAGAGAATTATAAGAAGAACAAGAGTATGAAATAAAAGTAAGTAAATATAAAGCATTAAAATAAATAAAATAGCATGTGCAGTATGCCACAGTGTGTAACACTAGTACTCAAGATATAAAAGTATTAAAAATAAAATATATATGTGCTGAGCCTGTAAGTGTGAAATTTAACTGCCATATATACATCAATAGAATAAACAACAACAGAATAAAATATAAGAAATGTAGTTGTGTGCATGATGAAGTCATAAGTGTAAAGTCCTAAATGAGCTTTATAATAATCTGTTGCTGTTTATTTCTGCCAGGATCGAGACATGAGAGCAGATTGTTCTGAGACATCGCTGTGTTTCCAGCAGGAAACAGCAGTGTTGATGAAATGTAAAATTTGAGAGTGTCCTAGACATAATGGAGCTCGAGTGAAAGTTCAGTCAGGAAGACGATTCTTTCTGTAACTTTCATCCTCACCCATTCACTCCTAACACACCTGCTCAAGCTCCATCTCTGGCTGTCAGTGTTCGGCCGGTCAATCGAGTCATCAGCTGTTCTTCTACAGCTGATCCACAATCAGCCAATAGCACAGCGACACACCTTCTCCGTCAGCCTATCATCTCACTGCTCCTCATTTAAATATGGTTCCTTTTCTGCCTGCAGTCCGTTCATGCTGCTGCTGTGCGTACCCTGCACCTCCCAGTGCCGCCTTCTTCCACCTAATAAACACAGCTGGTCTCCGCCCATCACTCTCCGCCCACTGTTGCTGCCACTCTCATCCACACCATCATCACATCCAGAGCTGACGACTGTAACAACATCTTTATGGAACCATTCAAACTCACACAGCACATCCAATTCAAAGTCCTTCTCCTCACCTATGAAGCTGCTACTCTGTGAGAGACAGAGGAGGAGGAGGAGGAGGAGGAGAAGAAGGGAGAGAGGAATATTTCTCTGTCATTGTGCCAGACTGTGTAACCAGCACCAGAACAATCCAGACTCCAACACTCATCGTTCCAGCTGTCATTACTGTCTCTGCTCCTTCTGATTCCTCTGTGAGTCACCGCTACACGAACTCTTCCTCTCCACTCCACCTCCCAGTAACAGCGACCAGTCAGTCCATTTCTACACAGCAGCTGAGTCCAGTACTCAAATCTCTTAGGCCGATCATCATCTCCTCTCACTACGGTCACCCTCGTGTTGTTGTCGGACAGTTTGAGGTTTCTGTGTGTCGTGTCTGTGTCCAGTGTGAGTTCACAGAAATCTGATGGAGAGAAAAAGAAAGCGACAGTTTATCACCTGAATCAGAAAAGGATTCTTTACCAGGTAGGTTTTCACTTACAAGGAATTTGCTTTGGTTTTTGGTGCATACACTAAACATACAGTTAACATGTTAGGAGGTGTAACAATAAGGTGAAGTCAAGAACTGAAATACAAAACAGAAAAATTACAATAAAAATGTATTATTATTATTAATATTATTATTATTATCAATATTATGTACAATGTGGCTGTTTGAGAATAAGCTGAACAGTTTTGTGCAGGATGTGCAAAAGCAGGGTTTATTCTTTGTCTGTTTGCTGATAAATTTTAATGATGACACGTTATCAGTTCTGTTTTAATGAATAAATACTTTGTATTTAAAGACAAACTGATTGTTTTCTGTTTTTATTATCAGTCAGACTGAATCCACACTTACACTTCCTCAGACCAGGTGATAACCACTGTTGTCCACCATGATCCACCCTGGAAGAAGAAACACAGAATGATTTTCTATCCAGCATGAGTCCTAACTGCTGCTCACAACACCATGTGACTGGTTGCCATTTGATCAGTTTAATTTCTAATGTCCTTTAAATCGCTCAGTGGTGTTCATTATGTATTTAGTTTCTGATAATGACTTCAGTTCTTTTATCTCAGACATGTTAGGATGCTACATACCTTGACATGTTTCAGCAGAAACTTGGTGGTGGTTGTGATGCGTCTTTATCAGCTGATCTGTCAATCAGCCGACACTAGGGAGGCGTGACCGTCCGGACGGTCAGGCCACCTAATATAAAACCCAACCACGTACTTTTTGTTGAAGGAAAAAAAAGTCAATTCGTCATTTTGCGTTGTTGTACAGACGTAGTGCTTTTATTTTGAAAGAGACTGTACGCAAACGATAAATTCCCTGTGAAAACAGAAGTGTATTTTGAGTTGTTTTTGAACAAATCAGCATCCTGGACGAGGTTCAGTCAGACAGCACAGAGTCAGCCCTCCTGAGGGTCATAAATTATTTGTTCCTGTCTCTGGATTCAGAAAACAACACAGTATCAATTCTTATAGACTTCTCGGCAGCCTTCGACACAGTCCATCACTTCATCCTCCTGGACCACCTTAAGCCTGTTGTTGGCCTTGGGGGACTGGCCCTACAGTGGTCTGCCTCCCACCTACAAAGTCGATCTGCCTCTGTTTCAATCGACAGTGTGTCCTCTTCCTCTGCACCCATCTCCTGTGGCGTACCACAAGGCTCCATGTTAGGCCCCATCTTATTTTCCTTGTATATGCTTCCCTTGGGATCTATTTTTAGAAAGTATAATATCGCTTACCATTTTACGCTGATGACACTCAGCTCTATCTCCCACTCAAACCATACAATCCATGCAGTGTCAAAATCCTCTTAAATTGCATCGAGAATGTAAAATCCTGGATGGCAAAAAGTCTTCTTCAACTTGAGCAGGATAAAACAGAGGTTTTCATCTTTGGCCCAGCTGTCAAGTCTACTTCCACAATCACTGCCCTCAGGTCTCTGTCATTAAATCACACGTGAAAAACCTTGGCCTATTCTTTGATTCTGATTTGTAATTGGATAAACAAATCAACTCTGTCATCAGCGCTGGCTTTTACAATCTTAGATCGGTTGATTTTAAAATTCTTTAATTTGATTTAAATCCATCCCCTACTTGATGTGATGGAGCATTTTCAGTTGTTGGTCCAAAACTGTGGGGCAGCCTCCCTCTTACAGTCAGATCCTCCTCCTCTACGGATACACTTAAAGACCTGTCTCTTTTCTTTAGCCTCTTAATTATCACTAGGATGACACGCCTGACCACACTGCTGAACACATGGATGTTATTTCTTTATTTGTGCGACGCTATTTTAGTGTGATGGTTTTGTCAAACTATCGTATTGTCTTCTTAATTTTATTTACATTCTCATATTTATGACTGTTTTTATTTGATTCTTCCTGTGTTATTTCTCTGTGAAACACTTTGGTCGACATTCGTTATTTTTAAATGTGACAGGTGGATGTTTGTGCCAAATTCAAAGAAATTACCTCAAGGAGTTCTGATTTTTTCTGAGCTGAGGTCTACTCACTCCTCTGAACAGTATTCGGAGAAATAAGATGTTCTTCATGATGATGGACTAGAGCGCAAGGACATGAAATTAGAGACACCTTCAGTATGTGAGCTCTTGTTGTCTGTTCATACCTGAGTGTGTCCAACCTCCATTTTGAATCCTTTAGTCCCGCAGAGAGAAGCTTCACCCCTGAGTCTCCTGGATGATTGTAGCTCAGGTCCAGCTCTCTCAGATGGGAGGGGTTGGAGCTCAGAGCTGAGGCCAGAGAAACACAGCCTTCCTCTGAGACCAGACATCCTGACAGACTGGAGTGAGGAAGAAAAACATCAACTCAGTGTTTTAGAAAATCATGTAGTCCCAACAAGATGTTGACCATCTTTACTAACAAGAACATACAGTCAGATGACCATAGTTTAAAATATCAACTGTTGAACAAACATCTTAATCCTGACCTGAGAGTTTCCAGTCTACAATGTGGACTCTTCAGTCCACTACACAGCAGCTTCACTCCTGAATCCTGCAGGTTGTTGTTACTCAGGTCCAGNATGACCATAGTTTAAAATATCAACTGTTGAACAAACATCTTAATCCTGACCTGAGAGTTTCCAGTCTACAATGTGGACTCTTCAGTCCACTACACAGCAGCTTCACTCCTGAATCCTGCAGGTTGTTGTTACTCAGGTCCAGGTATCTCAGACTGGAGGACTGGGAGCTGAGAAGTGAGGACAGAGCTTCACAGCTTCTCTCTGAGAGGTTACAGCCACTCAGCCTGAAAAAGATTTAGTGATGAACACAAACCAAACGTTTTGTCAAGTATACAATTTAGTCAGTCTGTCAGTCTATCTATCTATCGCGCATTTAGCTAACTTGGAGAGCCGGTCTCACTCAGAAGTAGTCATAATGAGGTCCTTGGGCAGTAACTTGCGGCGTCAGAAACCAACAAAAAAAGGCATCCTCAAATGTCCACATGATACATGGCCAGTTGCCGTTATGGTTCAACAGTGTGCGGCAGCATCAGGGGGAAACCCGGTGGGACAAGGACGAAAGTTAAGGCAGTTAAAGTCCCAGGCAGGAAGGAGGGAGGGGTGCTAGATAGGTCCAACAAACACCAACTTTCACCCAAGAGAGTGATGTTCGCATCCCGTAAGATTGTAAAGCCAAACCCTATTCTTTTTTTCCTAAACCTAACCACGTGCTTTTGTTGCCTAAACCTAACCATGTGTGTTAGTTGTCGGAGGAAAAAAAATGTCAATTTGCGGTGTTATGTGTTGTGCTTTATTTTGAAAGAGACTGTATGTAAACGTTTCCTGTGAAAACAGAAGTGTATTTTGAAAACAGACAATGCATGTAACAGACTGAAGTTGACACAGCGTCCCAAAACGTCAACAACCAACACACCCAGGGTACCTTGGACGTCATATGTGGACGTGGAAAGTCCATGACCAAACGTGGACATGTGACGAGGTCACAGTGAGAATGTGTTGAGCTGTAAGATGGAAATGCTTGCATCCAGTGGCTGGAAATGTTCCCATTACTTCGATTTTGTTACTTTGATTTTGTTAGGAGGAAAGACAACAAGAACATCATTGTTCCAGGTAATGGTACTTCCACTGAAGAAACACAACCTCAGATCTTCTACACCTGCTACGACCAACAGCACAATAATGTGAAGCTCGAAGAAATACACCCCACCAAAGGTGAGTCCACCTCAGCTGTGGAGGATGGCTGTAGCCCGACACTGGCTAATCAACCACAACAGAATTTTAATCATGGACAGCTGCAGGCTACAAGCGACAAAGAGCTAATGCAGCTTATGGTTGGATTGAATTAAATGTTGCCTATCTTCACAACTGATTTTCCATCTTTCAGTAAGATTTTTGGGAAAATACAAGTCACAGGTAACAGAAGACCCCGAGGTAAAAATTTACATGCAAGCTATCTACCCTAAGCTGCACTAACCAGAGATCACCCTTACATTCACAGAGAGGTGCACATGTAAAGTCTGAATTTTGAGGAGAATGGACACAACTACCAATGTTTTGGAGTGTTACAGGAAAGTAATATAATGAGTAGTGTAATGAACTACTGTTGGCGGGAGTAATAAGTAAAGTATTAACATTACTTTGCAAAATGTAAAGTGTAATAAGTAATAAATTGCATAATCTGAGTAACAAGCTCAACACTGCATATGTCTACTCACAGAGCTTTGTTGGAGGCTTTGACCACTGGCAGCAGCCTCAAAAGAGCCTCCTCTGAAGCAGAGTATTTCTTCAGGTCAAACACGTCCAGATCTTCTTCTGATGACAGTAAGATGAAGACCAGAGCTGACCACTGAGCAGGAGACAGTTTATCTGTGGAGAGACATCCTGAACTCAGGTACTGTTGGATCTCCTCCACTAGAGAACGATCCTTCAGTTCATTCAGACAGTGGAACAGATTGATGCTTCTCTCTGGAAACAAATTCTCACTGATCTTCATCTTGATGTACTCAACTGTTTCTTGATTGGTCTGTGAGCTACTTTTTGTCTGTGTCAGCAGACCTCGTAGGTGTCTCTGATTTCTCTGCAGTGACAGACCCAGGAGGAAGCGAAGGAACAAGTCCAGGTGTCCATTTGGACTCTGTAAGGCCTTGTCCACAGCACTCTGGTGGAGATGTGTTAGTGTAGGTTTGTCTCTGAAGACTTTAGACAGCCGGGAGGTGCCTGTTGGTTCTTCTGCCATCAGATTGACTCCAGAGTTGATGAAGGTCAGATGGACATGAAGAGCAGCCAGAAACTCCTGAACACTCAGATGGACGAAGCAGAACACCTTGTCCTGGTACAGTCCTCTCTCCTCTTTAAAGATCTGTGTGAACACTCCTGAGTACACTGAGGCTGCTCTGATATCGATGCCACACTCTGTCAGGTCTGATTCATAGAAGATCAGGTTGCCTTTCTGCAGCTGATCAAAAGCCAGTTTTCCCAGAGACTCAATCATCTTCCTGCTCTCTGGACTCCAGTGATGATCTGTCTCAGCTCCTCCATCATACTTGATGTTCTTCACTTTGGTCTGAACCACCAGGAAGTGGATGTACATCTCAGTCAGGGTCTTGGGCAGCTCTCCTTCCTCTCTGGTCTTCATCACATCCTCCAGAACTGTAGCAGTGATCCAGCAGAAGACTGGGATGTGGCACATGATGTGGAGGCTTCGTGATGTCTTGATGTGGGAGATGATTCTGCTGGCCTGCTCCTCATCTCTGAATCTCTTCCTGAAGTACTCCTCCTTCTGTGGGTCAGTGAACCCTCTGACCTCTGTCACCATGTCAACACAGTCAGGAGGGATCTGATTGGCTGCTGCAGGTCGTGTGGTTATCCAGAGGCGAGCAGAGGGAAGCAGTTTCCCCCTGATGAGGTTTGTCAGCAGCACATCCACTGAGGTGGACTCTGTAACATCAGTCAGGATCTCATTGTTGTGGAAGTCCAGAGGAAGTCGACACTCATCCAGACCGTCAAAGATGAACACAACCTGGAACTCTTCAAACCTGCAGATTCCTGCTTCTTTGGTTTCAGTAAAGAAGTGATGAACAAGTTCCACCAAGCTGTACTTTTTCTCTTTCAGCACATTCAGCTCTCTGAAAGTGAATGGAAATGTCAACTGTATGTCCTGGTTGGCTTTGTCTTCAGCCCAGTCCAGAGTGAACTTCTGTGTTAAGACTGTTTTCCCAATGCCAGCCACTCCCTTTGTCATCACTGTTCTGATTGGTTCATCTCTTCCAGGTGAGGCTTTAAAGATGTCTTCTTGTCTGATGGTTGTTTCTGGTCTGTCTGGTTTCCTGGATGCTGTTTCAATCTGTCTGACCTCATGTTCATCATTGACCTCTGCAGTCCCTCCCTCTGTGATGTAGAGCTCTGTGTAGATCTGATTCAGAAGGGTTGGGTTTCCTGCTTTAGCGATCCCCTCAAACACACACTGGAACTTCTTCTGCAGGTTAGATTTGAGTTTGCGTCGGCACACTGCACCAACCGTTCCTTATGGACAAAAACAAAATGTAATTAATGAGTGGATCCAAGAATCAATCAAATGAATGTAAACGTTAAGACATCCAGTTTCAGTTTTACAGAACAGTTTCTGTTTCAGCTCAGACGAATTCACAGATCTGATAAAACTGTGTTCATCATATTAACAGCAGATATCAAAAATGTGAACCTCGACCATGTTGCCTCATTTTCTCTTTCAATCATGTGAAATGCGTTAAAGTGCTCTTACTGCTCTGCAGACAGTCAGCCAGCTCCTCCTGCTTCATCCTCCTCAGGAAGTTCAGTGTGATCTTCAGAAACGCCTCTCTGCTGCTCCTCCTCTGTTCTTCATACTCACCATCCAACACCTCCTCATCCTCCCTCTGACTATTAGAGCATTCTGGGTAATGTGGACCCAGAACCTTCTGGATCTTCTTCAGCTCGTTCTTCACAAAACTGACAATGTTCTCCTCCAGCAGCTGGAACAGAATAAAAAGGATTTTTAACTGATAAAACATATCATTAGATAATCTGTGACACAGAAAGTCTGCAACATAGAGACTGGATCAGGATGATAGTTCAGTATTTAGTTTTGTGGCTGCTGTAATTAGCTAATGAGCTTTTACATTCACACACCATAAATATGGAGTCCAGGTGTGTTTGATGCTGCTGGGCAGACTGACCACTGGGAAGCTGATGAAATCTGTGATACAAACAAACATACAGAAGTTGTTCCATTATGGTTATTGGGAACTTTTGGTTCAAAGTGTTAAAATGGCTATCAGAAATAATTAATAATTATTAAAAAACCCATTAATAATTATGGTAAATAATGTGATTTAATTGTCAATCAACTTGCGGGGCACCATTTCCAAAAAGGAAAACACAATAGCCAGTTAATTAAATTAGTCTCATAAAATATATTACGTTTTCAATTTGGAACTCTGATTAATAATTAAAATAATAACTATAACCAAAATTAATTTATAT